CTACAAAATCCACAGATCGCACATCATCAACATCAGCTTCCACACCAACAACTGAAAGGCTGATCAGCACACATGCAGTAGGATCAACAACAGAAACTACTTCAAGTACCACTACTTCATCTACAAAAACCCCAGAAGTTCTGACATCTTCGACATCAGTTTCCACAGTGACTACCAGTAGCTCAACAACTTCACCTGCCATAATGGAATCTTCTGCAAGTACCACCTTGTCAACTCCAAAAATCATAGAAGCTCAAACATTTTTGGAATCAGCTTTCACATCGACAAACAGCAGTCCAACAACCACCACTGCAGCAGCCCCAACGAGAGAAGCTTCCTCAAGTACCACTAAGTCATCTCCAAAAACTACTGAAGTTCTAACATCTTCAATGTCATCTTCCACAGTGACAAGCAGCAGCTCAACCAGTTCAGCTTCAGCAGCCTCAATGACAGAAACATCTGCAAGTACGTCTTCAACTCCAACAACCACAGAGGCCCTGACATCATTGACATCAGCTTCCACAGTGAAAAGCAGTAGCCCCACCAGTACAACTTCTGTCAACTCAACAAGTCAAACCACCACATATACCACAACTTCATCTCAAAAAAGCACAGAAGGTCTGACATCCTCAACATCAGCTTTCATAGCAAGAAGCAGTAGCCCAACCAGTTTCACTTCAGTAGCCTCAACAACAGAAACACCTGCGAGGACTGCTTCATCACCAATAGGCCCAGAAGCCCAGACTTCTTCGACATCAACATCCACAGCAAGAAGCAGTAGCCCGACCAGCACGACTGTGGCAGCCACAACAGAAGCTTCTGCAAGTACCACTACTTCATCTCCAAAAGTCACATTAGCCTTGACATCTTCAACACCAGCTTCCAGAGTGACAAACAGTAGCCCAACCAGTTCAACTTCTGCAGCATCAACAGGAACTTCTGAAAGTACCACTGCATCTCCAAAAACCACAAAATCAATTGGTATGTTTTGCATAACAGCATTGTCATTTAGACTCATTCAATCAATAACTGTCATGAGTACTAACATGGGTTTAAACAACATGTTGAGTGGACATACTGGAAGAGAAATGAAAATTAACATAAATTTGACACTACACCCTCTGGTCCAGTAGCTCCCTCAGGAACCAGCAGCTTGACAGCAACAACTGCACCCAGCCGAATCATCACCGCTACCAGTGTCACCACAGCTGCCACCACGTATGTTTGGGTTTTTCAAACTTTGAGAAATTTTAGATTCAAATTTTCACTTTGTCATTGTTGTTATTTGACAAAGCAACCTGACCACCTTGGATGTCATGGATTCTTTTCCTCTCTTTCTTCTAGTATGGGATCTGCACTGATCAACATTCAGGTGAAAATTAATACTACAGGACGTGTCCCCAATGACCAAGACATTCTGAGCGCAGTCAAATCTCTCCCAAATCCACTGCTTTCAAGCAACATGATCACCTTGACTCAGCCTCAGAATACCCAGGATATCACTGTGGCAAGTGAGTTTCCCACAGACCAGATATCATATGCCTGGATTGATATTAGAAATGTGGTCAGAGGTATCTTTAGCAGAAGTGCATTACATTTCTCTTACTTTATCTCTCTCATCGCATTCAGATACGTCCAACAATTCCTTTGTCATCAACTTCGGATTCCAGGTCAACAATGTGAACATGTCAAAGGATGCCCAGCTCAGAAATGAGACTCATGAACTGATTCAGGACTGTGTCAATAAATTGGTAAGAGTACTGATTATTATTATTATTAGAATTATTAGGGAATGCAGGGCTTTCTTGT